ACAACGCGAACACAGTCTAATTAGGACAGGAATGGAAGACAATGATTCTTCCTTCAGTCAGAGTCCTGAATCTGCACTGACCACACAAGGAGAGATCTGTTAAGGCCCAAGCATCTATCCCTAATGAAAGAGACACTACTTTCAGTTTAATTCTCTCCAATGAGCACTTACTCACCACCTCCCAGGTGCAAGGGCCTCTGCTATATCTGTGGCAACATTAAGAAATAAAAGGAAACCCCTAAGATTTGGATCCATCAGGGATGGAGAAATGCACGGAGCCATACTACAGATTGTACTGCAGCCTATGTAATGGTGGAAATGTAAGGAAAGTTTTGTTGCCGTCCAGAGGAACATAGAGACACGCTCACTAGAACAAAAAGGCTGGATTTAAGGGTGTGAGGAAGGCTTTGCGGAAGAGGAAATTTTTTTCATTAAACCTTAATTAAAGAGCACTACTTGCGATGGGGACATGGCTCAAGTGGTAGAGTGCCTGCCTAGCAAGCGTGAGACCCTGAGTTCAAACCCAAGTATGGTCAAGCAGAAAAGGCAAGAGAAAGGCATTCTAGAAAGAGGAATGAACTTGCCACATGTACGAGTCCAACTGCATGACATGTTTAAAGAACAACAAATAGATGGGCAGAGCAATGCAGAGCCAAGTCAAAGTGGCCTTGCAGTGCCAAGTGCCACCCTAAAGATGTGGTGGGCATTTATCCTTCAAGGCAGGTAATGAAGGAGTCTCAGTGCAGACAGGACACTCGCAGCTGGGTGCTGGAAGTGATCCTGTCCTCAGTGTGGAGGACAGATTGATAATGGTTGATCTGAATGCAGAGGAGCAGCTGAAAGTATGTTTCCACAAGAAAAGCCTGACACAGAAAAGAATGCCTCCTAGTGCACTCTCCTCAGGGAAGTTTCCAAACCTGAAGATACCTGTCCATCACATGAGAAGATATTTCTTAAGCACAAGAAAGAAGAGCCATGTTGGGCCAGGCATGGTGGCTCACACCTGTAATCCCAGCTACTCAGGAGGCAGAGATGAGGGGGATCACAGTTCAAGGCCAGCTCAAAGCAAAAAGTTAGTAAAAAGTTGTTAGACCAACAAGCCAGGCATGGTGATATGTACATATGGTCCCAGCAACTCAGGAGGCCTTAAGTAGGAGGACTGAAATCTGAGATGCTATCTGAAAAATAACTAAAGCAAAGAAGAAAAAAAAAAGGTCTGGGGTGGGAGGAGCTCAAGTGGTTAGCACTTGCCTAGCAAGTATGAGGCCCTGAGTTCAAACCCCAGTACTGCCATAAAAATCCCTCCTTTGCCTAGCTAGAATTCCACAGCTGACAGCTATGACTGTCAGCTAGCTAGAAGGCCATGCGGTAGGGAGGCAAAAGCCCACTTCTGACCACACAATCTGTACATGCTGAAAAGGCCCAAGAGAGGCAGCTGGGACTTACAGAAAAAGTGACAAGACAGTTTGTCTTGTCACCAGGCCACCTGCAAGATGATGCCCTCTGCTTTCCACCTCCTGGTTGCCACTCACTGCAGTACTGTCACTGAGATTTGATGGGAGACACTCCGTGACCCTCCCCACCCGTCCAGGCACCGTGCCTGGAAGTGGGGCATGTGTAGCCCATAAGGCAGCCACGGGGAAGGATGCAGATGGGGGCAAGGCCCTCAGCTGCCGTCTTGCGGGCAGCCTAGCTGAACACAGAATCACATGCACTCTCCAGTTAGCCACTGGACCACAGGAGTCCAGCCATGCCAGCATTCCATCTCCCAGTCTGGTCATCACTCACTGGGTTTGATTCTCAGGGAGGACACGCAAAACAATCCTTGGAGCAAGGGACAAACAGCCCGGCCCTGACTTGGGTGTACTCATTCATCATATCCTTCAGAAATAGTTACTTGGATGCATGTTTCATAAAATAACATATATGAATTATACTCTTACATACACAATTTAAAATGTATGCATTAAAAAGATGCATAGTAAAAAAAAATGCCTTTTTTGGGTGAGGATATGTGATCACAAAAATTTGTAGACCATTGTGATAAACCCATAACCATCACCCACTTAAGGACAGAACTTCTGTTCTATATGCAAAAAAGCATCTTATTGGGTTCAATTGGGATCAACTTAATTAAATCTACTTTACATATCTAAAGGGAAAAGATTGAGGATATATCAAAAAGAGAACATCACTTTATACTTTGTAAGTTTTAAAGCTTCCTTCATATTGTATCTGATCTTTCTTTGCAGGGCATGGTGGTACATACCTATAATCCCAGCACTTGGTAGGCTAACGAAGGGGATCTCCAGTTCGAGGCCAGCCTGGCCAACAAAGAAAGTTCCAGGCCAGCCAGGGCTACATAATGAGACCCTACCTCAAAAAAAAGTTAACAAAACTCAGGTAGGAAAAAATAGCTTTGCCTAAATGAAGAACAGTATTTAAAATCTTTAATTTTAATTTTTAAATGCTAAATTCAATTTATATATTTCAAAATAATTTATTCTCGAAAGATGCTTTTTTTTGTTTTTTTTTGTTTTTTTGGTTTTTTTTCATTTTTCTTTTATTATTCGTATGTGCATACAAGGCTTGGTTCATTTCTCCCCCCTGCCCCCACCCCCCCTTACCACCCACTCCACCCCCTCCCTCTCCCCCCCCAATACCCAGCAGAAACTATTTTGCCCTTATTTCTAATTTTGTTGTAGAGAGAGTATAAGCAATAATAGGAAGGAACAAGGGTTTTTGCTGGTTGAGATAAGGATAGCTATACAGGGAGTTGACTCACATTGATTTCCTGTGCATGGGTGTTACCTTCTAGGTTAATTCTTTTTGATCTCACCTTTTCTCTAGTACCTGTTCCCCTTTTCCTATTGGCCTCAGTTGCTTTTAAGGTATCTGCTTTAGTTTCTCTGCGTTAAGGGCAACAAATGCTAGCTAATTTTTTAGGTGTCTTACCTATCCTCACCCCTCCCTTGTGTGCTCTCGCTTTTATCATGTGCTCATAGTCCAATCCCCTTGTTGTGTTTGCCCTTGATCTAATGTCCACATATGAGGGAGAACATAGATTTTTGGTCTTTTGGGCCAGGCTAACCTCACTCAGAATGATGTTCTCCAATTCCATCCATTTACCAGCGAATGATAACATTTTGTTCTTCTTCATGGCTGCATAGAATTCCATTGTGTATAGATACCACATTTTCTTAATCCATTCGTCAGTGGTGGGGCATCTTGGCTGTTTCCATAACTTGGCTATTGTGAATAGTGCCGCAATAAACATGGGTGTGCAGGTGCCTCTGGAGTAGCCTGTGTCACAGTCTTTTGGGTATATTCCCAAGAGTGGTATTACTGGATCAAATGGTAGATCCATGTCTAGCTTTTTAAGTAGCCTCCAAATTTTTTTCCAGAGTGGTTATACTAGTCTATATTCCCACCAACAGTGTAAGAGGGTTCCTTCGAAAGATGCTTTTTAAAAAATATTTAAATATCTAAACCAATCAACCCAGAGTTTAAAATTTTACCAAGACATAAAATTACATCGCATCCTGTGTCATAAAAGTAGTATATGTATATTCAAATTGGATAAGTTATAATTTTTTATCATTGGAAATATTTAAGCAAAACTTTACTATACACACAGCATTTACATATACATGTATGTGTATTTGTGTGTATTTTTTAACTAGTATATGGATAAGAAAGGAGTATATCTACAAAAGATTTTGCCTTTTGTTTCTATCAATGAAGGACTCCAGAACTTCAGAACTTTTTCCAGTCTGAGTTTTTTTCTTTTTATGAAATTCGAACTCAGGGCTTTGCACGTGCCTAGGCAGGTGCTCCACCATGTAAGCCACGCCTCCAGCCTTTTGCTCTGGTAATTTTGGAGATGGGGGTCTCAGTTTTGCTGAGGCCAGTCTGGACCGCCATCCTCCCATCCTGTGCTTTCCTGCTACCGCTAGGATGACAGGCATGTGTCATCACATCCAGTTTTTCAGCTGGGCTGGGGTCTCATGAACTGCTTTTGCCTGGGCTGGGCTGGACCCATGATCCTCCCAAGCAGTTAGGATCACAGGTACAAGCCACCAGTACCAGTTCTGAGCTTCTTTTAATTTCCAACTGTTTGCAGACTTGAATCAAAGTTCTCATATTATCAATAACATGGATTAAATTGTCACTTGCCCATCAATAATTGTAATGAAAAACTAAAGATCACTTTCATTACAAATTTTAACGTGAAACCCCAAGTTATTAAATACTAGTGATTTGCCTAATCATTTAACAAAAATTGATTAGGCCCATACTGCGTTCCACACAGTGTGATTTGCCTGTGGGGTAGTAAGGAGCACAGAGATGCAAGGGTATAGACTCAGCCCCTCCCCAACCAGAGACTTGGTCTCATCCACAGCTATCTCCAGCACCTACCACCAAGCACCCAGCAAGGCACACTGCCTCTCCCAAGGACCTTCCAACATGGTAGGGGTGGGAAGTGAGACAGGAGTGGGGGAAAAGACAACTCACAAAGCTTGCGAATAATTACAATGCTGTTATATTCATCTTCACATACGAGAATATCTGACAATAATTTCCATCTCCCTTCTCTCCCTGTGTCGTTTAGAGAAAGGGTTTAGACTTCACTGCATGGTCTATTTCTAGTTTTAATTACAATGCCTGGCAAAGCTTGGGAGATCATTTCAATTCATTTCAAAAATAACTCTCATTCAATACAAGAAGATGGGATTTTTCACGCTTGTGAGTTTTTTATTTACTTGATAATGAAGATGGTTTGGCATCTAAATAAAGCCTTTTCTTAGCAACTCGGGTCTGGTGAAGATGCAGTTGAAGAGCTATTAATAAAAATGAGATGGCTTGCCTCAAACAGTAAAAGCTTACATTCGCCTTCCAAACAGACTCACTCTCGTTTCCAGCTCTTCTTCATCTAGCGAAAATGCAGCTCCAAACAAACGTGGGACACAGAAATTGCAAAAGTCTCTCCTGGTACTTACCGATCCATACAGCTCCCCCTTCTCATTCATTCCGAGGTAGAGTCCACTGTCCACTCCTCGAATGCTGACCAGGCCCACTGCTATACTGATAAATTCCAGAATCCCTGCAAGACATCAGCAGGAGGCAGAGGACAGTTAGTGCTGGGGCACCCTCAGGGTCTCCGCATCCCGCAGCTCTGAAGCAGAGCTAAGTCCGGCTCCCAACCTGGAGAACTTCATGCACTTAAAGAGGCATCTTCTGCTTAAATTGTCTGAAACCACCATAAGACAGGGACTAAGGTAGAATGAAGAAAAATAGAGGAGATGAACTAATTGTGGTTGTAGTACAAATATACATGGAAATGTCACAAGGGAACTCCCTGTGTAGCTACCTTTATCTCAAACAAGCAAAAATGTCATTTTTTTTTCTTTTTACCTCTACAAAATCGGAGAAAAAGAGAGCAGAACAAGTGGGGGATGGGGTGATACCAGTGGGAGGAGGGAGGGTGAATATGGTGTAAATACTGTGTACACATGTATGTAAATGCAAAAATGATACCTTTTGAACCTATTCCAGGAATGGCGGGGGAGGGTAAAGGAGAGCAAGGAAGGAGCAAATCCAAGTACGATATATTTGATACAGTGTAGGAGCTTTTGTAAAGGCCACAATGTACCCCCACCCAGCAAAACAATAAATTAAAAAAATTCCCTATAAGAACTGATTTTCTGATCAAATTCTATCTTACCATATCAATACAGAAATATTTATCAACACAAGCTGGTCTCAGTGTGCACACCTATAGGCCCAAGTATTAAGAAGGCTTAGGCAGGAGGACAACTTGAGCCCAGGAGTTTGAGCTCAGCCTGAGCAACACAGTGACAGCTTGTCACAGGAAGAAAGGTAAAAGCAAACAAAACACCTATCAATGTGACTTATAACTAAAACATTTTACAGATTAAAAAAAGCTAGCATCTACGTAGACTCTGTAAGAAGTAATAGGACAAACCAATGAACATGTGATGAAACTAAGTGCACACTGAAGAGAGAACAATGTACTTCTACTTTACATTCGCAAAATTAAGTGTATGTCAAGTATTTTGACCTTGGACTTGCCAGCCTCACAAACTGTGAGAAATAAATATCTATTACTTAAACCAGAAAAAAAAGCATTTGTGTACAGGCACAGATCATTTTTTAAAAATCTATTCAGAGGATGGTCTTATGGCTCTCAAAATAAGAGAATAGGATTCTGATTAAAGGCTTGATTGACTTCACAGGAAATTATCCAGCTCTTAATTGCATAACTTCATTGATCTCCACATGAAAAATTAAGTACACACACACAACCTAAATATTTTCGCTTAAATAAGCATTGATTGTGTGTGTGCATGTGTGTGTGTTTGTGTGTATATGTGTGTGTGTATGGTGTGTGTGCTTATCTAAACTTCAGAAAGATAGTTAAACAATTAAGATAGCATAGCATAATATTCTAGAGGGGAAATGTTGGTTCCAAAATGACCCTGGTTTTAAACAGGCATGGAATCCCAAAATCAAATCAACATGATGATAGTCCTTTATTTCCTTCTTTCTCCTTACTTACTTCATTTAGAATAACAACACCTAAGCCGGGCATAAATCCAGAATTTTATGGCCACACCACCGCACCTTCTAGTCTTCTAAGTATATTATTGTTTTAAGATAATTATCCCACAATATATCCAGGACTCTGCTAATATCCCCTGTGCTCAGCCATTTTCCCATTTTTGTTATAGATTAAAGTGCCACACTTTGTGTTGACCTTGTATGAACACAAACCAAATAGAGTTCTTGTTTTAAAAAATGTCTTCAAATATTGAAAAAGACCTACTTGCATTTAAAAGTTGAGAAAAAACTTACAGTAACACTGTGCTATCGTCAGTCTCATGTGACTAATAAAAAGCACTTACATGGATTTTTAACAATTAATTTTGCAACTCTCACAAAAGAGACTGTGCTGCAATCCAATGAAAACCTGAGTTAAATAAATCTAATGATGCAAAGAATTAAATCCGAAGAAACTGCTGCAAAATGATACAAAAAAAGCAGCAATGTCTCTCCTAAAAGTATATTCCTAATTCTTTTATAAGCACAAAATGTTATAAATTATCACATGCATATGGTTTGCACATGCAAATTTATTTTAATAGAAGGTGAAATCATACATGGAAACAGTGAAATTACATATAATCTTTTAATCTGATAATCTATGATTCTATCATGGAAGATATTCTAAATCAAGCCTTCTCAACATCACAAAGCAAATGGGAAGTTACAGAAGGCAATATTTTCATGAGATTCATTTCACATGACATGCACTTTTTTTTTGATGCAATCATTTTATTCCACTGTACCATTTCTAAATCTTATGATTCAAAATCATCAAAATTATGGCATTTTATTACTGTTGGGGCCACCTATACAGAACTGTCTTTGCTACCTAGAAGTGCACCACAATCTAGGTCACACTCATCCTGAAATTACCATGAAGAGTTAAGTCATGTCCAATTTTTATGATAACATGAAATACAGGAAACATTTTGCCCCCTTTGGGGTCTGAACAATTTAATTTACCAGGTTAATGTGGAAAAGCTTAATTATCAAACTACAAGCTATTTGTGTCCTCTAAGATGGAATGTGGTGACCTTTCTGTCTTCCCTCCATGAGGCAGCTCTGAGAACTAATAACCATCAGGTCCAATCAGGAAGATGATTTCACAAAACCATCTCACTGGCTGATCTAAAGAACTCCAAGAATGACTGTAACAATGGTGGTCCTCTAATAGCTAGAATAAGATGCTTTTCCATTCAGTCCTCGAGACAATCTTGGCCATTCCAAGGTTTTACTCCTGAGTGGACAAATAGAGAAAGTGAGACTTCAGAAGGTTACGTAACTTGTCTTTAACTGTTATGCACATCTCACATTTGGTTCAACCTTTCTTTTTCATTTATCTGTGATTTCTGTGCCATTTTCATACAGTTAAGTTCTGAAATTACTATTATTATATAAGTTGGGAATGAAAATATTAAGATATTTATCTTGGGCTTTTTTTTCTGATATTGACAAGATAGCTGAACTTCATATGCATTCAACTTATTCACTGAACAAACTATTACTAGCTAGGCATGATGGCAGAAGCCTGTAATCCCAGCTACTCAGGGGGCAAAGGCAGGAGGATCAGAGTTCCAGGACAGCCGGGCAAAGATAGTGAGACCCTATCTCAAAAATAAAATAAAAACAAAAGGGCTGGGGGCATAGCTCAAGTGTTAAAGCACACACCCAGCATGCAGGAGGCCCTGGGTTCAATCCCCAGTGTTGCAAAATAAATTAAAAGCAAATAAGGATGAGTAAGATATAGGGGCTGAACATGTGGCTCAAGTTACCACTAAAGCACCTGCCTAGCAAGTGCAAGACCCTTAATTAAACCCCAGTATCACCAAAAACAACAGCAATAATAAAAGAGTAGTCGTCTTGACCTCTCCGAGATGACCCACTTTCACCTCTGCAAGTGTTTTTCTAGTGTAATAAAGTGACTTTTTACTACTGCGGGGGAGGGGAAGATAAGTAAGGCATAGCTTAGACCTTATCCCCCCAAATTATGCACTAAATAGTAGCTCCCCTTCTCTGTGTGAAGGGGTACATTCCTTGGATGCCTGAAACCACAGAGTGCCAAGCCCTATATATACAGTGTTTTATCCTCTATATACATACCTATGATAAAAGTTTAATTAAAAAAAAGTTTATCAATTAGGCACTGTAAGAAACTAACAACAGAAACTAGTAATAAAATAGGACAATTATAATATGTTATAATAAAAGTTAATAGAAATTAGCAATTATTTATTTCTAGAATTTTGCATTTCACATTTTCTGGCCATGGTTGACTGTGGGTAACTGACACCTGCACAAAGTGACACTGTAATGGGAAGAAGGACAACTAAACAGACAACTGCAGTAACATGTGGCGAATGCAATGAGAGGCAGATGTGCAGCATATGGACAATACCCAAAGATGGGTGCCTCACTCAGTTATGGGAAAGCAAGTCAGAGATGGCTTCCTGAAAAATACCCAAGGAAAATCTCTGAGGAGCTATCCTAGCAGGAAGGAACCATCCAGTGACCCCAGGTGGGAAAGATTTCATCACTTCAAACCACCGTCCATATCTCTATGGCTCCATAAAAACAGAGACCTCAAAAGAACAGCCCAGATTTATATGAGGTCACCTCCATGAGCCAAGGACAAGCAGAACACCCAAGTGTATGAGTCACCATCCTTCTCCCACACCCAGAGAGCGCCAATGTTGTTAGGTCAGGGAGACCTGGCAACCTGATAACAGGACACGCCCCAACCAGACTGAAATCCTTATCATTCCTGGTACCATCTTGTCCACAATGAACTCCATAACTCAGCCAGGTCAACTTAGCCCTCGCTGGACCAAAGTCGGTGCCCCCTCACTGAGCACTCCCCATGCCATCTACTTACGCACATGATGCAAGCAAGACTGCACAGGGTGTGACAGCCAGGAGAAAGCAGACCAGGAAATGCTTTATGATCAAGGGGAGAAGGAAGGGAAAGACAGAAGAGGGGAAGGAAGAGAAGGGAAAGAAGGTGAGAAAAATTTAAATTGTGGTCCTCCCATGTGTAACATGCGGCCTGTCTCTCCTGCTAGCAGACACAATCTCAGCTCAGAAGGGATAGAGACAGACTTACATTGTAAGAAGTATTTAAACTGCTTTTGCTGAAAAGCACTGAGTCCTTTCTTGGGCCCACAAATTAACTAAAAGCAGAGAAAAGACTGGCATCCCTGCCTCCATTTTATATCTGTTTTTCCTTAAGCTGAATACTTTGTATTCACCTTGGGCCCCAGGAAGAATAGGACTGATGGATAACATGTTTATGACAAGGGACCAAAAGTACCCCTAAGGAACAGCAGAGCCTTACAGGACAGACCACCCCCGCCCACAAAGGAGCACAATTACCTATAATGATGAGGCTGCACCCTGGAGCTCCCCTCAAGTGATGACAGCAATTACAACTTCTCCAGAGCCCTCAAAGAAACAGGACTGAAATAATGGCCAACCAGGTCC